CAAAAGTTTAATCTTTCCCCTTTTTACATTTTTAAATAAGCCAGCATGTTGTGTGATCACATCAGAGATGGGTTGCTCCCGTTAGTAGACTCCGCCCACCTGCCCAGATGCTTTTCTGCATGCCCAGAAGTGTCGCACATGCACAGGAACATGTGCGGGAGCACGCCCGAACCGGTAGTAAAAAAATTGGCAACCCACCACTGGATCACATACTTTGCTGTACAATGTGTATGCTGTACAATGTGTAAGCATTACGAAAATAAGAAAAAAAGAGGACCAGCTATGGATATGTGACTACTCACAATAAATGTTAATGTGCCTCTGTTTCCTACTATTGTTGCTTCCTCAGATGCCTGTGAACCATGTCTCTAAGATGCTAATCTTATATCTTAGAACAATTAACCAGTGGAATGGCTTGCCTTCAGAAGTTGTGAGTGCTCCATCACTGGAGGTTTTTAAGAAGAGATTGGACAACTGTTTGTAATGGTACAGGGTCTCCTGCTTGAGCAGGGGGTTAGACTAGGAGACCTCCAAGGTCCCTTCCAATTCTGCTGTTCTGTTGTTCTATATTATCTCATAGCCCAGACCAACCAAAGGCCTGCAAAGCCGTATCTATAGGGAATGGGGTCAAAAGTTTCAAATAGTAGCAATTACTTCACCCTGGCATTCTTCCCTATGTGTTGCATGTGTGGTACATGTAAGAAAGGGCCAAGGCTTTAATTGTTTGGTTGTAGTTGCCATTTGGGGCTTTTAGATACCATCTCCCATACATACCCTAGCTTATGTGAAGGAGCAGATTAAGCTTGAAGTTTTCATCTATTGTGAGTCAGTTCTTTATTTGTGGCAGAAAAAGATGTCTGTCCATGGCTACATATGTATGTGTGTGTATTTGTGTATAGTCTGTGCAAGTACAAATATTTAAAAAATTAAAAATGACATTACTTTAGAACTATCTCAAGTGGTCAAGTCTCTGTCATCTTGTTATGATATATATTATAGTTCTGGGTTTCTTTCTCTGAAGGTTTTAACAAAGCACAATTGTAAAAATTCATTTTTCTTCAGGAATTTGCAACTTCAATAAGATGAATAAAACTTGGGTGGTAGAAATGCAGCTTACTTTAAACACACGTTCTTGAAGAAATGGTCTTACCTGCTACTGGTTCCAACCTGAAATGGCTGAAATTCTAAATGTGGTTCAATAACCCAAATCTCTTCTATAAACGCTTATTTTAACGAGCTACTTTCCCTTCTTATTAAATCCACCTTAAGCTTTAGGACTACTGGTTTTATACTAGAGTAAGTGTGGGAACCTTTTCTCTCTCTTAAGCATCCACCCCAAAATCAACCTTTTGACTGTGGTCTCTCCTTGTGCCATTTCTTTTTCCCCTCCCAGCCCTGCCCAAGACCAGATGAGCAAACGTTTAGTCTTTGTTCATTTGCCATATAAAATCAGGATAATTTGAAATAAGAAAAGTATTCTACTGTACATCTGTGTTGCTCAGTTTGGGTCTCAGCAGTTTTCTTATAATGCATCTTGTCCCCGGTCACTGGCAGGGTTCATGGGAAGAGTGAAAGGGTCCCTATTGAAGAAGACTGTTCTGGAGCAGCAGCAGGGAGAATCTTTTTGCAGTTGGTGGATAGGGCTGCAGTTTTCAGATCTCTATAATCCTAGAATTGGCCCACATTCCCCTTTAAACTAACTAACTATTGATGGAAAAGAAAGAGCAGGCAATGCATTGTAGGTGCTCTGTGTTCAATTCATTTAAAAAGGGAGTTGTACTTTATATAAAGATGCGACTTATTGTCTTGCACTGCATAGAAATTGAGGCATTTCATTATTATTGTACTATATCCTTCCCTTCCTTTTCCTTCTATTAAATTTTATTAAAAGTATTGGATTTTTCAGTATCTTGTTCCCATTTAGTAGCAACTTGGATTTATATAGCACACATACGCTAGTGCTGTGTCTAGGCCACAGGGAAATTGTGAAAATGGCAAGTCAAGAGTAGGCCTCTGTAGAGATAGATGATTCCCTGAAGTATAAGTTCCATTGCTTTTGGTTGCGTTCCTCTTTGGATTTCTTTCCTTTATAAACTCAGATCTGCAACAGATTCTGTGAACTTATTGAATTCATTGAGACTGAGATACAATCCCTTCAAGGAAAAATCCATAGTTCATAGAAATCTAGTACAAATTGGTAAGATTACACCAGGGGTGAAATGCTCTGAGGTTTGCTACCGGTTCGCTTTGCTACTGGTTTGCTTCGCATGCATGCACACTACAGGCGCTACCGTGCAGCACTGAAAAAGGAGGATTAAAAAGCCTTTTCTAAGTCTGCAAAGGTAAGTAGAATACCGGTGGTTCTGACGATCAGCTGCGCGACAATCAATTGTGCTGCACAATTTCTTAATCACACGGCACAGCTACCGGAATCAGGCAAACCGGCAGCATTTTTTACTACCGGTTCAGGTGAACCGGTCCAAACCAGTAGCATTTCACCCCTGGATTACACCACTAAGCACATGCCTATCTGTGGAACTGATAGTTTGAATCTTGCATAACATATATAACCGTGACCAAGTTCTACAGAACGATATGGTCTGTACCAGAAGCCACATTTCTCACAGGGATACAAATCCTATGTTCAATATTCGATCTACACCAGTGTTATGTTACATACTTGGAAATTAAAACAGATTTCATCCCCTTCTAGACTAAAGTGTTGAGCATCCTCCATTGCAAATTAGTCCTTTCAGGAAGTATTCTGAGCCCTTCTGCAACTGAATCTATGCCCTTGCCTGACTATTTTGCATCAGAACGTAGAGACACTTGGAACTGTATAACAGAAAATGATCCAGAACTGAGTACTAACTTGAGGTGTGTACCATAGTATTCCCTAGTCATCCTCCATACATAAAAGTTTTTCCTGCTTGACAACTGCTTCTAAAGTAGCCTAAGGAGCACAGCTGGATAAGAAGGGCCTGTCTATCACTACACTGGAGGGATCAGTTGACAAACAGCTGTTGGACTCTATTAAGCAACGTATGCCAGATGTTTGCATTGGCTCTAGTCTAGCACAGCTGTTCAATTAGGCATGTTGCGGCAGGGAGTGTTTGCATATTTACTATCCTTTTCTCTTCATGGGAAAAAGAGGATTCATACCAGCTACTGGCCGGAGAATCTCCCTCTACATTATGTCAAATGAGGTGGCAGCCTGTGAATTTTTGGACTGAAGCTCTTTCTGATGGGTGGGTAAGATTATTGCACCCATGTACCACAGCCCTATTGCATAAAACTCTGGCTTGGTCTAATGTCCTAGTTCAGCTCAAGAGTTAGTCTCACTCCTTTTCCTTTCCTTTTCCTTGGGGTGTGGGAGAAAGTAAATGTGCTACTTTACTCCACATGAAGGAAGTGCCATGGAGACTTTGAAAATATTTTATAGCTATAGTCCAAAATATAACTATCTCATTCAGTAAGTTTTCAGTAAACCCACTTGATAGATTTTGCACTATGTAAGTTTGCATTATGCACCGTAGGACGTAAGGAAAGATACTGAAATATTTTTAAAATGTTGTATGACTGTTATAGTCATGGATTAAATATAGAAATATTTAGATGTTGACACTGCCTGTGTTCCATGACATGATGTAGAAACAAAAATGCTTATCAAGTAAGGAAGATGAAAAAAAAGTGAAATCTCAGTATTATAGTTCTCGTTGCAAATATGTCTATATGGCATTTATGTCTGAAAACCCATCTTTTCTTTACATCTTCTCAGCTTCCTTATTTCACAATAACATGGAGAAAAGAGCAATTATGCAATAATCTTGAATTCTAATTGGATACTTACCTTTGGCTGGAATTTGTAAATGTTACTAGAGGAATTCAGGAACCAGCATTCATTGTCTTTAATAGCCAGAAATTATTAAGATTGTAACCTTGAGAAGCTTCACCTTTCCAAAAGTCTCTGTGCAACCTGGGATGTGGGGTATGTGAACTAATTTGGATGGATGATATTCTGCACACAAAATGCAAATGATTTCCAGCTGTAACTGAGAAAAACCATCAAGATTCTTGACCCCATTTTTCTAGCCCCCGGTGGCATTAAGCATGACTATTACTAGGAAGCCTGGGACTGTGACCATTTTTCTCGGTATTCATTGCTGTACTTTGCCCTTCTGTGAGATTTTGATGTTGATGATGTTTTGTATTATTGTTATTTCAGCGCTGGGATTCAGAACTGGAAGACTTTGCAAAAAACTACTCGACAAAATGTACTTGGGAACATAATAAAGAACGTGGCTCCCGAGGCGAGAATCTTTTTGCCATGACTGGAAACCTGGATCTGAAGAGAGCAATGCACGATTGGTACATTGAGTACCGGGATTTTAATTACAGCACATTGGCATGTGAAGAGGGTAAAATGTGTGGTCATTATACCCAGGTATCTAATTATATCTTGGTAGTAGCTTAGAGTCAATGCCTAGGAAATGATGTATCATTGTGCTACCTATTGAAATGAAGAGGTCCCAGAGTGATAGAGAGCTTATAAGCAATAGAAAGATAAAAGTTATTCTATAGAGTGCTCAATTGTCAGTGATTGGAAGTGAGGGGATTTCTTAACTTTGATCGTCTTATGTTCTGGCTTCCATTTTAATTCCCAGTTAAGATTGTAGTAGAGAAGTTGTTCCCTTAGTCTCGTGAGAGGGAAGCCACTACCAAGTTTTCTTTTTCATTTCAAAAGAGTTGGGTGCACACAGTGCTGGTTAGATTAACATATAATATAACTTTTAACAAAAGAAAAACCCCACTTCCATCAACTATAAGTTGGATCCATCAATGGTGACTACAATTCTAATGAAACCAATGGGACACACATTCATGAATAAGAGTCCTGATGATTTTCAGTGCTACTGAAATTGATGACATGGTGTGAATTCAGCTGAATAAGTCCAACCCGTTGTTGCTGTTAGGAAAAGTTTGTTTTCATGTCCTTTTGTGAGATAGCCATGAAATTATAATCCTGCCTGCCTGCAGATTTGAATCCCTAGTCCTGTTGGATTGTTTTCATTTTATATTGCTTTTATATTTGTTGGGAAAGAATGCAAATATTTCAGTAAGGCTTGCCATTCCCCTCCATACTCTATCTTTACAATGTCATATAAAGTAGGCAGGCTGAGAGGGTTGACTCAAACCCATCATACTTCAAGGCTGACTGAATAGTTGAACCCAGAATTCCCATATACTTAATGGAAGAGATGCAGTTGCTTCCATCTTCTTTCCAAAAGAATTTATGTATACAGAACACTACATAATGTCAATTTGTATTTTTTTTAAAGGAAAATAATAATCAATGAGGACTTGAACATTTCTGATCCTCTGATTCTGTAGGACTCTTAATATCTGTAACCTGGCCTAATGGGAATGAGCAATGAGTATCTCTACCCCTTGTAATGAGACAAATTGGATTTAATTTCAAGGCACATACACATCTTGTGATAGAAATAATGAACCGAGGATGGAGAGAGAGGAATTGTAACAGTCCAATCCACTCATGGAGAAATATTTGATCAAATACCATCTCTAACAAGGTCAGGTTTATGCTTCTAAAGAAGGTGAAACTGATAGTAACATATTGCTTCACACTAGAAAAAAAAATGCACTGTAAATTGTAATAGGAGGTCGGGAATGAGCCTTTAGAAAACCTAAGTAAAAATACTGGCCAATATGTATGAAAATCCATGCATGCACAATATGAAAACTTGCCCGAAAGATTCTAAAGAAAACATATGGATAAATGTCCCAAAAGTGCTTTTTCAAAAGGCAACTGGACTTTCTGGTTTTTCTTTGAAGATGCTTTGCTTCTCATTCAAAAAGTTTGCTCAGCTCCACAGATTCCATTTAGAACCTCCATAGACATGTGGATAAATGGTTTCAGTAGCCAAGTAAAGTTAAGCAGATGCAACTTATTACTCATAGACATCTTTTCGGTCTGATAATGAATACATTATCTATTGCTATTGCTTTCTTCTATAGGTAGTTTGGGCTACCAGTGAGCGTGTTGGCTGTGGGACAACATTCTGTGAAACCATGGGAGTGATAAATGAGACTGACATGCATTTATTTGTCTGCAATTACCAACCCCCGTAAGTTTCTCCCCCCCCCCGCTTATTGTGTCATCATTTTCTAAAGATTAAAGAAAAAGAACAGCTTGTTCCTTCATTCTTGTGTTCCACTACAAGTCCATGCAAACTTTGTAGAAGGAAAGAATCAATACTTCCACTTAAAGAAAAAAATAAGAAAGGACAGGGGAGTTTTGTAGATAAGGAGTAGGAAAGCAAGGGAACCATCCTTGCCATAATCTGGGCAGAAAATGAAAAAGTTCCCACTGGGAAATGTGAGGTTTGAATGGAGTGATGAATTTATAGAAAGAACAATCATTGGCTTTAGGCAATCATTGAATCAATCAAAGACTATAAAAAAACAGTGATTGATTATGAGATTTATCAGGGGAGCCTGGAAACCTTGGATAAAGTTTCATAGAACAATCACCCCACTGGAAAGGTGGGGAGAATACCCTACTCTGTAACTAGTTAGGTATGTTGCTGTTAGTAGATTGGAAGGAAGCAGAGCAAACCATCTGCTTAAATTGAGTTAAACTGGAAAAGAGCAATCAAGAAGTCCTGTGTGACCTGTGCAGATGGAGGGATCACAGAAAGTATGGATTTACCCTAATGATGAATTTACTGTATTTTTCAGAGTATAAGATGCACGGGAGTATAAGACGCACCAAGATTTTGAAGAGGCAAATTTTTAAAAAAGTTTTTGCATTCTGCAGACCTCCCAAAAATGGCTCGTTTCTGTCAAAAAAAGGGCCTGAATACCCTTTAAGAGGCTTGTAGAGGGGGTGGGGTTTTGGGGAGGCCAAAAATGCTGTATTCAGTGTATAAGACGCACCCAGATTTTCACTCTCTTTTTT